ATTTACCTGACAGTATTCACTATGTGTAGAGAGATGAATAAATTTATTTAGCATTACATATTATATGATTGAAAAGGAGAAATATTGATCAAACAGAACTCGAGGATGGCTTACATTTCTCCATCTAATTTTTAGCTTAATGTTAAAATATACATATAATGAATGAATGAATCACAGATTTAACTAAAATTGTAATTTTATGTTGATTTCTAAGTATTTTAATATTTTTCAACTTCTCAAAAATACAGTCATTACAGCTCCCTTACAAAGAATGTATTTTATTATCTTCAGTGGAATGCATACACTACCACAAACCCTTAATTTTTACTAAAATATTTCAAATGAAGGTTTTACACACTTAAAAAGTCTTTAAATTTTCACCCCCCCTGCCACAAAAGCAGTGCTTCAGTAAAAGGTATAAATGTGTGCTAAAATCTAAAGACATTGCTTATACACTATACATGAGCACAGGTTCTAATTTACTTTTTCCAATCATATATAGAAAATATGGCAGGGTTGTAAGATCACAGGTTTAACAGAAATCATAATTTCATACTTATTTCCAAAAGCAGCACAAATAGACTCTTTCCCCACATTATGAAAAATATACAATTTTATCACTTTACAGTCATGCGCTTTGAAAAACAAAATCAGTACTTTTTTCTCTATTCCAGTTTCTAAAAAGGTAAAAGGTCACTTTAAAACATTGTTTATTTTTAATTGCTATCTTTTGGGTAAACATTTACCTTTTAAACAAGTTTATGTTCTTTTACCAAAAAGGGCAAAGTGCACTTGGATTTTATCCAATTGCCATATGCTTTTTCCCTAAGAAAAGCAATCAATTGCTTAAAAATAGAGCAGTCGGAGGGGGGAGAACCAAACAACAGGAATTTTGTTTTGAAGTTGGTATAGACTCAATGCTTCTACATTGTAGGAGTATAAAAAACGTTATGAAGCAGGTAGTTAATGAACGTTATTAAACGGGGGTGGAAAAATGAATATTACTACTCCAGCATTGTATTTCAACTTACATTTCCTTCTACATTAATATTCAGAGTGCATTTTTTTCCTTTTGAAATTATTCATGTTTAACATATCAGTCATACACTATTAAACAGCCTTCTCTAAGTTGTTTTCCCTGGAGATGATGGGAACTTTTTATGTAATTTATCTGGAAGGTGAAGTAGATTACAAAGTTATACTGTAAAGTAAACTATTGTCCAAGGAAAACAATTTTAGCTTATTTCAAGCTAAATATAAAATAGCAATTAAAAAATACACATAGCACTATATCTGTAGAGTCTACAGTTTGTAATTTGCATATATTTGGAAGTACTTTGCATTTTCATCTACAAAAACTTCACTTAATACCATATTGGAGTTACAAATCTGGAGGACTTCACAATTTATGTTATTTGTATGGGTTTGGTTCCACAAACATGTAATTTTCACTTTAGTATATTACTAAATATTGAGTACTTTTCATTTTATTTTGGCATGTTGGGTCACTTCACCTTGGTTTTGATTTCCCTGTTGTGTTCAAGGCGTATGAATGCTTTTGAAATAAATTAAAATTCAGATGTTTTTTTCTTCAGCTTTTAGGTTCTCCAGTTGGTTGGCATAAGTCTACTAAAATAATAGATTGAGCTGCTATGCCTGTTATATACTCAAGTACATGAAGCCACTCATCATTATTATAATTAGTCATATAGCCAACCAGATGCTTAGACTGGATTTGGCATTTTGGCCAACCTATTGAGTATTATTTCTTCATGTGGATTGTACCTGCACCTCATAATCATATAGGAATCTGTTCAGGAAATATACAACAGAATTTTAAAAATCCAGCACCCTAAAAGAATGTCTACTATCCTTTTCATCTTACATCATTCCTCTATGGAACTCAAAAGCAGCATGTATGAAGTTCCCAAGACAGACTCCCAGGCAGGCACCAATCACATATGTATTCAGTCCAGATCTTGATTTTGGCATAACATAATATGAATTATGAACCCAACTATTGAGATATGTAAACCATGATTTATTGCTTCATGTGTGAAGCCAGTTTATTCAATAAGCAAACATAACTTTTGTTTCAGAACATGAATTTTCCTCTCGACTTAAAAATACTGTTGCTGTTTTAGAGGCCTGTCCCAGCCATCATTAACATGATTCAACAAATAGAACAATCAAACCAATATAAATCTTAAAATATTGGAATGAACTCTGAAAGGATATAGAACAGAAGAGAAGCTGATAACCAACTAAGTAATAATAGCACTTATAACTTTTGTTAAGTTATAATAAGCATTTTCCATGAAATGCATGAAAAAAGCTTATAACTTACTGTAACAAAATACCAAGTTATCAGCAAAGTGTTCCAATAAATTATGGGGAATTTTTTTGTACATGATGCATATAATCAACCTGTTTTCTGACAGACTTATTTTTGCAAAAAAATGTGATCCATTAGCACTAATAAGAATACTTGAATGGCCACTATAGGGAATAATGTTTATTTTCAAATGTCAGAAATTCAGCTGCTTTTAATTCAGCTAAATCAAAATAATACATGTCCTAACTTCAATTAGTTATATACAAAGAAGAATATGTGAAGGTTGATGTGTAATGCATGAACTTCTTAAATTGTAGTAACCTATTGAAAGGCCTTGGTGGGAAATAGAACCTCGAGCAGAGAAATTGTATACATCAACTTTGTTTACCAGTGTTTGCTGTAGTAATAAGATTTGAGTAAGGAACCATGTAGTTAGGCACATTGAAGGCCACCACAACTCACTGCACTTTTGTGGCATAGGACTACCCTTGTTTCTAAGCATTTGGGTACTTTAATTATTCCATTGCATTTTAGAAGACAAATATAATTTGTATACTGCAAACCAACTATTGGTTGTTGGACCACTTCTGATCATCTAAAAACTTTTAATAGCTCACCTAAATTATCTGATAACATTCACATTAATCATAGATCCTTGAAAACTCGATTTGTTCAAATTCTAAGTTTGTATTTTAAATTACTTAAGGAACAGGGAGGTTTTCACTGATACCTAATGAGACAAAATGAGAAAGGAAGTTCACAATTTGCTCCTTAGAGTACCAAGTGGTTGGGATCACAAAAAACTCTCAAAGTGGCTCAATATCTAGGTATAGGATGAACTTGCAAAACCAAAAAGACATGCTGTAATGAGAAGGAATAAAGTTGATCAGATAAAATAAATCTGAATTAGGGCAGAATCTGTAAGTTGAGAAATCACCTCAGACAGGAGCCTTCCTAGTTCTCACAAAGATAAAGGAAGGAAAATGAAAATCTATTCAGCCTTGCAAGTCTTAGTTACTGTAACCTTATAATACAATTAGCGTTCAAAATTCTGGTTTCCTAATCTTACCTACCTTGGAGGGTTGACACAGACAGAAAGAGGTCAAGAAGAAAAGAATACAGTCTTTCTGAAAGGGGTACTTGAGAGAGATACTGAAACTTGAGCAGTGGACTATCTAGGTGAGTTCTTAATGAAAAAAAATATTGAAAATAAAGATAATTCAGTAAAAAATATATCCAAATAAACAAACAATAAGTCTATGAAACCAGATTGCCAAAGGTGAAGTAGCATATTGAAATTCCACATTTCTACACAAGCAGCATTTAATTTACAGTTTTCTCTTTGTCAAATGATCCAGTGGCCAGTTAGGTGTTGCATTATATGGTTTTAGGAAATTTACAATTATCAGTTGAAATGTGATTGGAAGAAAATGATTACAGTTCAAAATAAACAAAATTGATTTGTTTGATCAGCAGCAGCAGCAACATGAATTCTCATGACTTCCTGATGTAACTTAAAAGGATTCTTCTTCTATATCTTTTCCAAATACTGTAACCAGTTCTGTATTCTCCCACTTATTTCTAAGATACCATGTCAATGTTATTTTACATAAGGAAGCATGTTTTTTTTTAAATTTAATATATTAAAAAGACAAGGCCAAAAGACACATTGCAGGAACTGTTTTACATATTTTTCGAATGTGGAGTTAAAGTCAGCATCTTTAGCAACAATGTGAACATTTGCAGAGAACTCGTTTAGTCGTGTTGTTCTGCCTACTGCCTTCTCAGGGAATATCTTATCTAAGAACAGGCCAAAATCCGTAATTGGTATTGACGAGGCTCATGTGCTTCTAGTAATTGGATAGAAAAATTGTCAATGCCAGGTATAGGTTTTGGCCAGCTCTTAAACAGTGGCCATGAGCTCACCTCTCTTTTTCCTCTTCATTGGTCATTTACTTATTCCTGTGGAGCCTATTTGTATCCTTTCTCAGAAAGACAGGAAGGATGAAGTATGCAGAGATGCTCATTTCTTTCTACTCTTCCTCCAATGAGAGGTAATCAGGCAGAAGCAACAAAGAAGCAGTGAGAACATTAAGGTGCAAGACGAATGATGCTGAGAAAGTAGCTCAGGACTGAGATCTGCTATTACTATAGTATCACCCAGACTGTATCACTAAAAACTAGTGACTCACCAAGTTAAAGGCTGCCTAACCATTACACATTATGGTTTGTCAGATTCTTGACAATCTAGCATATGTGTTGCTAGAATATTCAAAGTATAGCCAGATAAAAGTTGCCTGCACCTCAGACTTGTCCTTCCCTACAGCTGCAACTCCAATAATTTCTAGTTGCTGCCAAATTGGGGGAGACTGCTTTGGGCAGCCACTACTGCAATTCCATGAGTAGGCTAATATAAGGCAGATATATATATATATATGTTTTCTTAAGTTTTCGCGGGTACTTACATGTATGGTATTCAGCTTTGTTCGGGTATTTTCCCACGTCATTGTAGTTGTGCTTTTAAAGTTGTAGCAACGTTTCGGCAGAATCTCATCTGCCATCATCAGGCTTCTGTATTGTGTTCGTATATAATCACTATAATGACGTGGGAAAATACCCAAACAAAGCTGAATACCATACATGTAAGTACCCATGAAAACTATATATATATATATATATATTCTACCTAGAAATCATTGGGAATCAAGAATGTATATATGACCATACAGGAAAGTGGGGATTTCATTACAATACAAATGACAAGAGATTGGCCACAAGAGGGTAGTCATTAACTCATGTATCATTGTTCTGGATCAGGACAGCCCACAAACTAGGCCTTTAGCTGCCTTATTTACACTATGGACACAGTTAAAGGAAATGGGAAGAAGGGGTAATGCTGGCAGCCGGAAGCAAGGAAGTTCCTTTGCCTCAGATTCTTTTCACTTGTAGTCTTGCCGCTTGAGGTGCTTATAAAGGACCCTTGAACTGGTTTCCTGAAAGATGTTGCCTGATTGATGGTTTGGAGCTTGCTGCATCACCTAGTTTTCGCCAGACAACCTAAGAACAAGAAAAAAGACAAAGAACAATTTGTAAACAGGAATCAAGTTTTCCAAAAATAACTGCCGGAAAATCTGCAGCTATTGAGGTCTGGTAAATACCATGTTGTTACACTAGGAGGCATCCAGGTCCTAACATAGTTTTTAGTCTTCAGGGTTTTTTAAGTAGTAATTTTATTCAACATTACTATTAAAAAAAGAACTAATACAAACTTTAAAAAATTAAAAATAAGTAAAAATAAAAAGTGCAAAAAATATAGTAAAGAGAGAAATATACAAAGAAAGTACTTCTCTTCATAACAATTATAAACAATTTTCAGTGTAATTTAACCTCCTCTGTTAAAAACAAGAAATTATTTTCTCATATCTCATCCCTTATCGATAAAGAAATCTTTAAAGCCTTGTTTTTCAATTCGAGTCAGCAAAATTCACCAAAGCTTACCAGAGATAACGTATCTATTTTAAACTTGATCAAATAAAACAATTTCATATTCATTTAGTTTATTTTCATATTTATTTATTTCCATGGTATGCATGCATAATCAGGTATCCTCACAAACCACCGGTTGTCCCTGAAAGATAGGTTGGGAACCATGTGGGTCAAAGCTCACATGTGGAGAATTTAAACATCCCTAGGTTCCAGACACATCTGGCTAGACAATGTTCCTGTGCTCAGTAAATCCATTCCAAAAGGCAACAATAAACAAGGAAATGTCAGCATCATTCCTGCCAAATAGTTTGTTGTAACGACTTTCAATTAACATACTTGTTTTAAAGAAGTTGAGCAAAGGAAACTTGTTAAGGTGTGGCACATTCCATTCATTTGAAATGATAGTTTTGGTAGTTGTGTAAGTAATGTGTTCTTCAGTTCTTCATATCCTTAATGGGATTAAATACAGTACAGTACTTGCAAGAATGCTAATACTGTGCACTGCTCTTGAAAATTGCTTTGCTTTAATGGAGGGCTCTCAGAGAACTTTTTGGGGACTGTCTTTGAATATATTTTGCTCTGCAAAGCAAGGAATAAGCATTTTTTTACACAGCATGTGTAAAAAACCACAGTTTTGTGCACATTGTTTTTGCTCCTGGCTCTGTTCCATGACACTGACATTTCAAAGTTACAGTACTCACATCCTACAAGTGTTAGTCATTTCCCTATCAACAGTGTCTTGTTTTCTTTAATTCCAGTAGGGCAGGACAAGTCTCCAGTATAATGGTTTCTATGAGTGATCACCAGCATTGTGTGCTTATGCCATTTCTGAAAAGCACACCCATGATATAGTAGTTGACGAAAAAGGGGACAATCTAAATAACTTACATTAAATCTTACCCAGACTTTCTCAGGGTTGGACACAATGGGACTTATTTCCAAATCAAGAGGCAGAACACTGAGCAGATGGCTACAATCCTATGTACTTCACCTAGGAACAAGTTGCATTTTTTTGCAGCTAGGCTTGAAATTGTACCCATCCCTTAAAAAAAGGTGTGTTTGTCTTTTAAAACACACTCCTTTGTCCTTTTTTTAATAGAAAAAGGACCACTTTTACATTTCACAAGCAATTTGATATGTTTGATTTTGGATCATTAAGGATTACAGTGCAAAATTTAGCCTATACACATACTGCTTGTTATACAACCACAATAGGGAGCAGCAAATTTATTGTTAAGCTGCAGTCATTAAGTGAGGTAAATGTTACTTCACCTGATTTTACAGTTGTTTTTTTTTTTGCCATAGTCATTAAACAAGACATGCAACTGGCAACTTGCTACCTTCTCTGCCAGCTTCCTCATTTGCTTTGCTTGTCAGAAGCCAGCTGGGAAAGTTGTAAATGGCGCTCATGCGACCACCATACACTAAACCATAATGCACTACAGTTTCTGAGTGCCCAAATCATGATCATGAGACTACAAGGAGGCTGCCATGGTTGTGTGTGAAGACCGATTATAAGTTGCTTTTTTCAGTGCTATTGTAACTTTGGATGATCACTAAACAAATGGTTTTAAGTGGAAGACTACCTATAGAGCAGGGGTCCCCAATCTTGGCAACTTTACGCCTGGAGGACTTCAACTCCCAGTCCTACCCGTCAATGAATACCTCAGCTTCAACCACAATACAAGAGCACACAATAGATGCAAACTCAAGGTAAAGCACACCAAACTTGATTGCAGGAAATACGACTTCAGCAACAGAGTGGTCAATGTCTGGAATACACTACCTGACTCCGTGGTTTCTTTCCCAAACCCCAAAAACTTTAACCTTAGACAATCTACTATTGACCTCACCGCTTTCCTAAGAGGTCTATAGGGGATGTGCATAAGTGCACCAACGTGCCTATCGTCCCTGTCCTAATGTTTCTTTTT